TCCTTCCTTCCTTCCTTCCTTCCTTCCTTCCTTCCTTCCTTCCTTCCTTCCAAAAGTTGACTCAGTCTTTCGTCCCGCTGAGGTCGGTAAAATGAGGACCCAGATTGTTGGGGGCAAGAGGTTGACTCTGTAAACTGCTTATATAAATCTAAGTGCTATTGTCAACTCATCAAACATTCCTATGCCTGTTTTAGTAGTTGCCATTTTAAAAAAAAGGTGGGGGGAGGAAGGAAACCTGGAAGAGCCGTGCAGCAGTTTGGAAGCGGAAGTACATTCCAACTCTTTATCTTTAAAAGGTTGTAACTAAACTACCAGAGCTTTTGCCCGCGAATATATTTAATTGGAGAATGTGATTGATGACACCCAGCCCATGAAGGTGCTCAATGGGAGAATCTGGTTTAGGAGACCCCCCCGGGGGGGGGGAACAGGGTCCCAAGGGAGTGTAAATTATGTAGGCCAGAGTTGGCTTCAGGCAGGGCAGGGCCAGAATGTCGCCTCTAATAAATCCTTTGAAGCTTTTTGAAGTTTGGCTCGAGAATCATGATTTCATCAGGGCGATCGCTGGAATCCTGACACTATTGCTATTGTTGCAGATCTCCACTGACAAACTGGTGGGGCTGGTATATTTCCGGGAACATTTCAACCCTACCACGTTTCAGAAGTTGGTGTCCTACCGACAATCCATTCTCCACGTTTTGGAGGTAAGAATGGGATGGGGTGTGGAAAGTTGGCTTAGCGGAGAAGATGGTGGCTTATCCTGTGTGGGAAAGGACAGGGGTGAGGCCCATCAGGGTGACAGCGTGGGTCGCTGTAGGCCAGCTGCCACCAAAGTAGCATCTGTGGAGTCATTGGTGTCCTCTGGTTCTCTTGCAGATGTTTCATGACCCAACTAGGGAATATCATCAGTGCTTGGAGGAAGAGGGATATGTGTAATGTAGAGAGGGGGGGGGAGAGGAGGAAGAGGAGGAGAGGGACTTTGGTGATTTCTGAGCTTGGCTGTTTTCTTCCAGACGTTTCATGACCCAACTAGGGAATATCATCAGTGCTGGGAGGATAGGGACGTTGGTGCTCTCTGAGCTTGGCTGTTTTCTTGCAGTCGTTCAATAGCCCAGCCAGATGATAGATGGAAAGTAAGAGGAGGAAAAATACATTGGGCAAAGAAAGCCCCCTGGATTTATTTGTAAAAAATAATAAAAGGCAGGATACAAATAAATACATAAAATATTCCCGCCAAGAAGAACAGAGCAAGTCTCTAGTATATAAATAGGAAGTAAACTCCGTTCTAGCACTGATGATGTCACCTAGTTGGGTTATGGAAATGTCTGCAAGGGAATAAGACAGCACCAAGGACCCCATAGTCATTCTCCTCCTCTTCCTCCTCCTCCTCTTCCTCTTCCTCTACCTCCACCTCCTCCATCCTCCTCCTCCCCTTCTGACAGAACTGATAATGTGCCCTAGTAGGGTAATTAAAGGTCTGAAAGAAAACTAACAAGCTCAGAGAGCCCTGAACGACCCCATAGTCGTCCTCCTCCTCCTCCTCCTCCTCCTCCTCCATCCTCCTCCCCCCCTTCTGACAGAACTGATGATGTTCCCTAGTTGGGTAATTAAAGG